GTGGTGCCAGTGTGCGAGCTGGTGGTTGACAGGCCGGCAGAGCAGTGGTGCCAGGTGCTAGCAATTGACAGGCCGGCAGAACCGTGCTGGGGCTAGCAATCAACAGGCCGAACAGAGCAGCGGTGCATGGGCCGGGCAGCCCTGGTGGTGAGCTCGTCTGCATCGTCGCCGGTTGGGCCAAAGCGCCGGCCGAGTCGAGGTGCCAATGTGGAGACGATATGGTGACGGCCCGCCCGAGAGGTATCATTGACGGTGGCAGTGGTATCAGTAGCGCCGATGCCGGAAGCCCCAACGCTGAAGCAGCCGCCCCGATGGTGCCCAGCTACAGTGGGAAGCATCCCTTCTCTGGTAGCGGGAGCGGCCGCATGCCGCTGGCCCGACATCATCGAGGGAAATGACATGCCGCTGGCTCGAGGTCTTCGGGAAATCCTCCTGCATATCCTGCTTTGCTATGTACGTCACGTTTCTCTCTCGTATGGGATGGTACTGACATTTGATGGCGCAGATGGACCGTCGACGGCTGCGAGGATGCCATCGAGCATGTCAACCACCTTGCTCGGCGCTTCATCAACAGAACCCCTCAGCGCTGGGGTCTTCGACTCCTCCGCGAGTTCGACGAGTCAAAGGAGATAGAGGAGACGCCAGAGGGGGACTTGGACGTAATTCACCGGAAGGTGAATTACCTCGAGAGGCTTCACGACGCGATCCATCGCATCCAGGACTCGGTTGCCAGCCTCGCTGGCAAACAATCCACGCTGTATCAGCATGCTGACGCGGCGGGCTGTATGCTGACGAAGCATATCATGATCGCGGTGGACGTAGCCGCACGTCTTCGTGCTGGACCAGTCGAGATGTTCGAAGTCATGGAGCGCAAGCTATTTCTTTACCAGGATGAGCCGATTTAGTACTTTGAGCTAGTATGCCGCTGTCTCGTGTTGATCCGCCGTGTATTGACGAAATAAAATACCCCAAGTCTTATTTCACTTGTTCGCGCCAGAACCTGTCAAGGTTACTTTGCCAATGCTTTCTCCTTATCCGTTAGATATCAGGGTTCCGAAGAACAGCTAAGAAAAGGGTACATTTCCAATTTGGAGAAGAACTGGCAGGCCGATACATCGGGTTGATGAACTCAAACATTTAGCGCCGCTGAGGATCCCGTGGTGTATTCAAATTGACAGACCACGCTATAATCGATTGCTGCTGCCGTTACTAGGGAAAGAACGCCCTCAATATCTACATCATTCTAACTTATCTCTGCTGAACCCCAATTTTTGAGATTTATTTTATTGAGTACAGATTGTTATCATGACAAGAAGGCGCGCATTTATGATATCAAGATATCACACAGAAGTACAAGACGGGGCTACAAGATGTATGAATGACTGACTACCTGCGGCGGGATCGTTTCGCTTGTTTCGTTTCAATGGCTTCGTTGGCGGGTCGTTTGTGTCTGCGATAGGCCAAAAATAAGCATGAGTCTAGATGTTATGATGGAAATGAGGACTTACTGCTTGCGCGAGCGAACAATACGCTCCATAACCCAGATAACGTCATCCACAGCTGTTAGCCAGCGATGATCCTTTGCCGCTTCGGAGGTCTCCGATCCCCACCATTTGAGAGCGGCGATAACGGAAAGCAATCCGTTTGGTCCCGGCTTATCGAGGAAGTGCCATTCTCCGTCATCGTGACGTGGAACAGGCGGCGAGCCTGATGCTGATGGAATGGAAACCTGCCGCCAAGACGGTTGAAGACGCGCCCACCACCCCCACCAAGCTATCGCGAACTTCTCCACGTCCTCAATTTCAGGGCGGACGTGGAGAGCGCGCCCACGAGAAATCCACCATTGAATCTGCCCTGGCCTTCCCTGGGAATCGAGTATGCCGCCCGATCCCTTGGCGACGACGAAGCTGGAGGACTTCTCGAGTGCCAGGTATTGTTCTAGGAGCGTCGTGTATGTTGTTGGAAGGCTCCAGCCTTGCATATCAGTGATCTCGCCCGTCAAGCCCTTCCCGACAAGCTTGCGATCTGCGGGCGACAGAGGGTCAGGGGATTGAAGATACTGAAATGCCAGCGTAGCCCACTTGGGGGCGTCGTCGAGGAAGTGGGCATTGGACAACCTGATGGAGGAGACGCCCTCCACACCGTCCCGAGTAGCTGGAAAACCATTATAAATGGTGTGTCGCGAGTCATACTAGAAGCGACACATACCTATTAGCGGAACCGAGTAGAAGCATCGTGAATTAGTGGCTATCAGAGCCTAGAAGCTTGGAGTACGCACCCTGACTAGCACCTACAGACACAACCGTTGCAGGCTTGGATCTGGGGGGGTTTCATAATGAATACATGATTTAAGGCAAGATAGAAGTAGTAAAATCAAGAACTCACGGGGCAAGAGACGTAGATATCGCGACGGAATCAGACTGGCTGGCGCTGGGCATGGTAGTGAGCCGAATAAAGCGGGATGGGAGAGGAAGGTTCCAGAATGTTCTCTGATGACCCGTCACTTACCGCTCTGGAATGTCTGTCGTGACTGGATCTGGCCTCTCGGTGCCGTCTGCAGCGCTTGCCGTATGAACTAAGAGGCTCGATGTTAGTGATGTTACAGAGAAATGAGTGTCGATGTTATACCGTCCGGAGTGTGAGAGGCATGTGCATCGTGGTTGGCGGTTAGGCTTGAGCGACCGCGCGTGTTGTATAGCTTCTGAACGGCTGGGGCGTCGCTGTCGGTATCCGAGGTGTCGGCCGCCTCGGATTCCTTGTCTGAGCTAGCGGGCAATGCCTTGCGCTTTCCCTTGCTCTTGCCCTCCCTTCTTTTCTTGGGCGCGGCATTGTCATCTATCTTCGAGGACGCGTTGCGCGCTGGCTTCGAGGGGGATTCGCGGTGAGATGACGATGGTGCACGTTGAGGGACCGAGGGGACGTCAGCCGCAATTTTTGACGCCCCAGGCTCAGCCTGCTGGTCTTGCTCGTCGGAGTGTTCGGGTAAGGTCAGGAGGGAGTCCAAAACCTCCTTCGTGACCGTTTTGTTTTGCGAGTCTGGGAGAGCGCAACTCTCCTTCATTTCCTTAGCTGAGAAGTCTTCAGAGGCTTCCTCCCATAATGAAGACAGAAAACTTACTGTAACAAGTCTCCAAATAATCCAGATAAAATTTATTGACCACTTTCCACTTTTGTTCGTCCGACGTCCGCCAGTTTAAAGGCTTCGTCGCCAAGTTTTTTCCCATGTGCGTTCTAGATATACGAAGGCGGCGTTAACACACCGTAAAAAATACTTGTCGAATCGAAAGCACTTACGAAATGATATTGATTCGCCCCGAACGTCGTGGCTCAGGCCCTCCCGTGATCAATGAAGCATTCCATCCGGTGGCTTCCGCGATAGCCTCAAGGAACGGACCCGTAAAGTCCAACAAAGTGTCGATTGCCCTTGAGAGGGTGAGGATCTGAGCGCGCATGAATGCATGTGGGGACTCACTTTTGTCGGCCCTCGGGAGACGTATCCGTTGGCGCCTCGAGCGCCGCTTTCCATTTGGTGAGCTCCGTGTCGTGATCGTCGGTGGCTTTCTTCGCCCATCGGTCCTGCTCGTCCTTTGACAGCTTCTTGAAGTGCTCCGTCGTTACGGTCTCTCGAAACTGGGCGTGGTGTTTGGCGCCGAGTCGGTCCTTTTCGATGGCCCACCGCGCCTCAAAGTCGGATTTGACGTCTTTCTCGTAGTGGTCCTTGGACCAGCGCTGAGTAGCCGATAGTTTCTTCGGCTTAGACGGAGACAGCCCGGCGAGCTGTTTGGCGATGCGAGTCCAGACATCATTCTCCTTGTTGCCGGGCCTTCCCGCGATCCTGGTTGACTCGATACGACCCTTGAGCCATCGTTCGATGGACTGTTAAAGAACACATGTCAGTAGACGCGCAGGAATAGCATGAGATGTGAGTAAGATCGTGACGGAGTACGAGACGCGAACGAAGGATGGGCAGACTCACATTCTCCATAGCTGCTACTTTCCGCGCCTTCTGTAATGTTTCGGCTTCAGTGAGCTGTTCGGGAGGTTGAGACCGGATGGGGTCATCCTTGGCTGGAACCGGATCCGAAACTTTGTTCCTCCAAGGGACGAGCACGAAAAACTCGTTGATAACGCGGGAGAGATAGTCACGGGCCCGAGTGTTACTCTGCTGCCGAGCCTTCCGATACCCTTCAAGGTGGCCCTCGAGAAAGGTCTTGACTTCGCCTCGAGCCCAGTGCCGCGTCAGTTTCTCGACGAAGAGCTCGGGATCATTAGGGTTTGTGGAGGCTGGGGCTGAAGTTGGAGCCGCCATGGGCGACGCGCGCGTTTGGGTTGTTGTAGTTTGGGTGTTTGGGGTGGTGGCGGCATGGGCGTCTGTTTCCAACGCTCCCTCGGGGACGGCGTCGACAGCGACCGTGCCTGGCTGCGAAGCGCTGGAGTTTGCGTTCTCGGACATAAGTACTGGAAAATAACACTATGTTAGTGTTCACAGGAAACGACAGCAGAACAGATGAGGAAAAAACCTGAGGGCGTGCCTAGAGCAACTTGAGAGTTAGAAAGACGCAGGTGAGAATAGAGAGACGAAGGGGGGGGGGGAAACGAGTGCGCGAGAACCGATGCATTGTCGGCGCTTGATGACTTTGCGTTTTTTGAGGCGACGATGCATTGTGCTAGTGACTTACCATAATTGCTGGTGGCTCGCGCTTACCTGCGGTGTGTTATATTGACTAATACCCGCGAATTCTATTGAGGTTGCATTCCCGAATATTCAAACCCAGCGCCGTTACACGGCGCAATGCACCGAAAATCCCACAGAGAAGATCCACTTTTTTACCTTCATCAGGGATCCCTGCGGATCCATCCATTTCGCGAATCAGCATAAACCACCCTTTTTGGCAAGGGAAATCTGGCAGATTCCATGCTGTTTTCGTGTAAATGCACGACCACGGCTGGTTCTGGCAAGTCGTCTGACGACGAGTTCCTGGTGGTTAACGCGTGAATCACTCTGCATACGTATTTCTCTCTCTTCTAATCGCATTACAATGTCTCATACGCGCCTGCGCCCTGTTTTTTTATTTATTTTATTTTACGATTTTCCCCCCTCTTTTTTTCACGCCTACACGACATTTATACACTTCATAATACCTTAACGACACCTTAACGACTTCTTACGATACTTTTAGACACGCGCTTCTTTCAGTGGCGTTTTACGGACACTCTGGTCGCACTTAGTTGACCCTATAATGCAGCTTTTCCCCGCTCTGAAATGTGCGATCGCATGTAAGAATGACCCAAGCAATCAATAAGCACATCTTAGTTTGTCAAAAGACAGCTCTATATTGGTGGAACACGCTACTCCTAATTACTTGGGTCATAATAAGTACGCTCGTACGTGAAAAGGAGGAAGGGAAAGTGTAAGAAAAGTCGACAGATAGTTTGTGCGTCCCTTATTTCGAGTAGGTTCGGTTCGGCATGTAAGTCCACTTTAACTTATGAGGGGCCATCCTTATTTGGGGGCGTTAACCGAGACGCGCGTGTATAGTTTCCTGATAAGGAAGCT